TCGCACTATGTTCGACTTTGACGCCTTCTACCAGGCGCACTACGGAGAGCAGCTAGAGAGAGAGCGGCGTCTGCGCGCCCGGAGAGAGGCCCTTCGCAAACAGAAGGAGAGCCGGGCCAACAAGGGGCTCCGATGGGACGACACCCGAGATGCCACTTTCTTTGTCCTCCTTTTCCTCATCTTCGTCTTCGTCGGCTTTCGTATTTGATCGGAGAAAAGGAGGGAAGGAGAACAAGCCAAGAAACTTGCCATTTTGGACCTTTGAACTATTGGTCGTGGGTTGGATTGACTACCTCTAGTGGTGTTCTCTTGACTCTCCTGGCACCTTCCCAGCCTGGCCGCTCATCGACATAACCTTCTCCTATGGTCCAGAAAAAAAGAAGCTCTTTCCTGGCCAAGAAAGAGGCCCCAGGGTAAAGATACCCGGAAACCAGCAATTTATGTGCTGGTTTCCAGAGACCCCTGGGTGCCTGCTTGTTTCTACAAGTTGCCTTCCAGATGTCAACTCCCTGAACAATTGCTCTGGTTTTATCCAGAAGCCCTGAGCAAGTTTTGTCTTGTCCCCTGCCACATGTTTATAACATCGGGCAGCACTTCCTCTGTAACTTTTGAACCCTCAAGTGTCACTGGTTGTCTGCTGCCAAAGAGATTAATTTGGGAGGCTTGCATGAAACTTGTCTTTCTGTGTTACCCCAAGCCAAAGGTGTGAGACTTGACCAATGATCCAGCAGGGGATGTAGCCAGCTCAGAGAGAGAATGCTAGCTAGCATGCAGGAGACATTGGGTTTAGTCCCCAGCATTGCTGTCCTCGTTGTAGAGTGTCCCCCTTCCCAGCTGACAAAACAAGTTAACTAACGAATGATTGCCGTTTTTCTCAGGTCTGTTTCACACCACCTCTTGTCATGTGGCAGCAAGAAAACAAAGCCCTTGAGTATGAAGAATATGTTCCTGTGTCCATATTTATCTCAGTGTGACCTTGGAGGAAGGTGCCCTGTGGGTGTAACAGCAGAAGAGTAAATAATTAGCTCTCCTGAGGGTCTGTCACTATTACCCATATCCTGCTCCACAGTGGTGATGTAGGGTGATGCTACTAGGGCCAAGTTCATCTTGGGACAGTGTGCCTGTCCTTGGTCTGTCTGTCCTAGCCACTCACATTGCTAACTGTGCAGTCTGCCTGGTAACTGTGACAAGACTTGGAGCTTGAGTCCCTGAGTATGGCCCCTGCATCTGCAGTGTTGATCAGAGGTGCCACAAATCAAACTTTCTAATGAGGTTGTCGGATTGTGTATAGCTTTGGGCCCTGGAGTAGCTAGGAGCAGAAGCAGCAAGAGGCTCACTGGTTAAGTTGGAGATGAAGTCCAGAGTATAGTATAGGCTGGTAATCCACCGAGAAGGCTGAAGCTGGAGGATGTGACCAATTACATAGCAAGGCTTGTCTTTAAAAAGATATATATGGGGCTGGAGATATAGCTCAGATGTTAAGAGCACTGGTTGCTCTTCCAGAGGTCCTGAGTTCAATTCCCAGCAACCACATGGTGGCTTACAACCACCTATAATGAGATCTAGCGCCCTCTTCTGGCCTGCAGGCATGAAGGCAGGCAGAACATTGTATATATAATAAATAAATATTGAGTGCTGGGACTAAAGGCATTGATGGTACACGCCTTTAGTCCCAGCACTCAGGAGGCAGAGGCAGGTGGATCTCTGTGAGTTTGAGACCAGCCCGGTCTACAAGAGCTAGTTCCAGGACAGCCTCCAAAGCCACAGAGAAAGCCTGTCTCCAAAAACAAAACAAAACAAAACAAAAACAGATTTAAAAAAATGACATGTGTGGTGACTTAAGCCTTTAATCAGAGCTACATAGTGAGACCCTGTCTCAGGGGGAAAAAAGGTACAAAAAAAAAGTTGAAAACTAGGTTCCTTATATGCTGCTGACCAAGGATTGTAATGAGTTTTTTGGGATAGTTTGTGGTTTGGATTCTGGGGAAATTTTATTTATTTATTTGTTTATTTATTTATTTTTTGAGGTAGTATCTAGTAACCCAGGTTGGTCATGAACTATCTTTGTACCTGATCTTGAACTCTTGATCCTCCTGCCTCCACCTTCATTTTTGTTGTTGTTTTGTTTCATTTTTGATACAGGGTCCTGTGAAGCCCTGGCTGTTGTAGAACTAGCTCTGTAGACCAGGCTGGCCTTGAACTCATAGAAATCTGCCTGCTTCTGCCTTCTGAGAGCTGGAATTAAAGATGTTCACCACCACACCCAGCTTACCTGCTGAGTGCTGGAGGACAGGTGTGTACCACCATGACCCCGCTCAGATTTGTGGGTTTTTTTGTTTTCCTACACCAAGCAGCTAGGAGTAACTTGTGGTAAGAACTACAGTGGCCATGAGGTCCCCTTACTGACTCACATTGGGAATAGGCTAGGACATGGTAAGTACAGGAAAGTGGGGTAGGAGTGGCATGCACCTATGAGTGACTCAGTGGATTAAGGACTTTGTCTTGTACTACCCCAGGACCTACATAGTAGAAGGGGGAAAGTGACTCCTAAAGTTCTCTTCTAAGCTCCACATAGTGGCGTGTGCGTGTGTGCGCAAGTGCACCAGAATACCTCACACAGACGAAATAAATAAATGTAATAAAAAGTGATGTGCAGCTCTGGGCCAGGGAGTTGGTTCTCTGGGTCACCAGTGACTCAGGAATGACCACCAACATTCATTTTGGGAAACGAAAAGTCCTGTATTGTGACCCTGTATTCCCTGGGAGGTCACCAGATCCCTTGAAGAGAGAAAGGGAACAGCTGCCAAGTCACAGGCCTCTCTTGGCCATTATCTCCTGGGTGAGGAGGCGAAGACTGGGAATGTGGCTCAGTTGGTAGAGAGCTTACCTGGCATTCACAAAGCCCCGGGTTCCAACTGCAGCACTACGTACACTGAGCATGGTGTGATAACCTATAATCACAGCTCTTGGTGAAGGCAAGAGGATCCGAAGTTCAGTGTCATCCTAAGACACAGAGTTGAAGGCCAACCTAGGCTACATAAGACCTGCCTCAAAATAAATAAAGGGAAATTACTTAACCTCAGACTTTGACTGCTCAGTTCAGCTTCACTGTTTCATACTTCCATCTGCCTGTGGATGAAATCATAGGGAGCACCTGCCTCACCAGGTGCCAACCCCCAGGTAGGTTAGCTCTTGGATCCAACTTGTAACTTAGGGTGCTGCAGAGCCTCTGAGTTGGTGAGTAGTGCCCCTCTCTGGGTTAAGCCATAGTGACCACCAGAAATGGAGCACACCAGAAGCCATGCCTAACATGGCATCAGAAATGATGGTGCCATCTGCAAGTCTAGCATACAAGTGGAGGAAGAAGGGTGAGTTCAGGGCCTTCTCCAGATGCAGTGGAATAAGCCTTCAACCCTAGCATTCAGGAGGCAGAAACAGGCTCATCTCTGAATCTGAGGCCGGCCAGGGCTACATAGTCAGACCCTTTCTCAAGCCACAACAACAAAAAATGCAGGCAGGATAGAGAGTTTGGGGCTTGGAAATAATGGTTCTGTAGTTAAGAACATGTATTGCTCTTGTAGAGGACCAAGTTCCATTTCCCAGCACCCTTATCAGGTGGCTCATGATGGCCTATAACTCCAACTTCAAGGGATCCAGCACCGTCTTCTGGTTTCTATGGGTACTGCACTCACACATAGACAATGCAAAACTATTAAATAGCTGGGAAGTGGTGGCACATGCCTTTACTATCAGTGCTCTGGAGGCAGAGGCAGGTGGATCTCTGTCAGTTTAATGTCAGCTTGGTCTAAAAGTGAGTTCCAGGACAGCCAGGGCTACACAGAGAAACCCCGATGAGCGGGAAATAAAATTAAAAACTTGGTCTGGGGCTGGGGAGATGGCTCAGAAGTTAAGAACACTGTCTGTTCTTCCAAATGACCTGGGTTCAGTTCCCAGCACCCATATGGCAGCACACAACTTCTATAAATTCCAGGGGATCCAATACCCTCACAAAGATAAACACGCAGGCAAAACACCAATGCACATAAAAAACAAAAACAAAAAACCAGAGAGGCAAAAATAGGATAGAGCCTCATAGCCTGCTGGGGCTTGTGTTTAAAAGAAAAAAGAAAACTGTAAAAAGAAAAAGAAAAAATAATAAAAAGAAAAAGTATAGCCAGGTGGTAGCACACACCTTTAATCCCAGCACCCAGGAGGCAGAAGCAGGCAGATCTCTGTGTTTTTGAGGTCAGCCTCATCTATAGAATGAGTTCCAGGACAGCCAGGGCTACACAAAGAAACTCTTTCTCAAAAATCAAAACAAAAAGAAAGATTCCAGGACAGCCTCCAAAGCCACAGAGAAACCCTGTCTCAAAAAAAAAAAAAAGAAAGGAAAAAAAGAAAGAAAGAAAGAAAGAAAGAAAGAAGGAAAGAAAGAGGATGAAAAGTTTGAGTCCAGCTTGGGCTACATATGAGACAGTATCTCAAAATAGCCTAATATACAGAAAAGCTGAATGAGAGAGAAGGCCGGAGCATTTCTCATAGAAACAGACTGCTTTGCCTCATCACCTTGCTGACCCCTGCAAGGATTTGAGTTTGATATAATAATCCATGCCTGGACCATGGGATGGCTCACCAGTGAAGGTGCCTGACAACCTGAGTCGCTCCTGATTCCCAGGATCTACAGTAGAAAGAAGCAACTCCCACATGTTGTCCTGTGATCTCCACTCATGTACATATACACAAACACTTATGTTTTTAATAGCCCTTGTTTTATACAGAAAGATGAATATAAATCTTCATTGGTTTTCAATGCTGGGATAGAACCCAGTACTTGAACATGCAAGGCATATACTTTACCACTGAGCCATACTCTTAGCCCCTCACTGGAGGATTCTAGGCAGGTACTCTCCCACTGAGCCACACTCAAGCCCTCACTGGGCGTTTCTAGACAGGTGCTCTACCACTGAGCCACACCCCCAGCCCTCACTAGGAAATTCTAGACAATGTCTCTATCTACTTTGGAGTTACATACATAGAGTCTCAGCTCCTGAAACTTTAGCTAGGAGACATGGCTGTTTGTTATCATTTGGGGGGACAGTGTATTTCTATGTAGCCTAGGCTGGCCTTGAGGTGTCTGTATTCTTTACAGGTACACTAAGGTTCTTTAATGATCCCTAATAATGGCAAGGGCTTAGCTAAATGCAGTTCTTGGTACAGTCACACCAACTCCTCCACTCACTCCTGAGGATAAAACTGATGTATAAAGTGGGATAAACCCACAGCTAACCCAAATATTGGAAACCATCTATTTTTCTGTCCCTGGATGGCTAGGAGTGAGCTCTTAGCCAAAGCTTTGTAGAGATCATAGGCCATTTGGCAACTGCTTGTCTTGTTGAACTTTGGTTTGCAAATTGTTCACTTAGCAGGGTATAGTGGCACACACCTTTAATCCCAGCATTTGGAAGGCAGAGGCAGGTAAATCTCTGTGAATTCAAGGCAGATTGGTCTCTGTAGAGAGAACCAATCTAAAGAAGAGGAGGAGGAGTTTACTTAATGCCAACATATTTCCTACTTGGAAAATGAGGCATTCTGGGGAAAATATATAGAAATTGGTGATTCCCAAACAAAGCCATGAATATAAGATTTTCTGAGACAGAATCATCCTGAACATCGTGGCTTAATGGGTAAAGACGTTCTCACCAAGCCTGACAAACTGAATTCATTCCTCACATTGTAGACAGATCTGACTCCAGCAAATGAATGCACCTGCAGGAGCAAGCAAGCATGCACACGTCCAGCCACCCAGTTACTCACCCACACAAATAAATGCAATTAAACAAGCCGATTTGCTGCTGGGGAGACATGGCTCAGCAGTTGAGTTTCCTGCTCTCCAGAGAACCTGATTCAATTCTCTGAACCCACTGGGTTCTGTTCTGAGGGATCAGATGCCCTCTTCTGGCATCCAAAGGCACACACACAGGCACACAGACACACGGAGACACATAAATCTTCAACAAATGACGACAAAAACAACTTTCTGTCTGTCCATCCACATAGTAAGCAGTCCAGAAACCTTGGTTTTTCTTGTTGTTGCTCTGTTTTTGTTTTGTTTTGCAAAACCAGACCTGGGAAGGAAAGGAGGCTCAGTGGTTAAGAGTGCCTGCTTTGCAAGCCTAAGGAGTGGAGTTCAGATCTCAGTGTCTAGATGCGTCTCACACAACCCTGTAACCACAACTCTACAGAGTTGGAGGGCAGAGACATGAGGACTGCTGGGGCTCCATAGCTGAGAAAATGTGAATCCCAGGTTCAGGAAGAGACCCTGCCTCAAAAGAACAGGGAGTGTAATAGAAAAGGACACTGGAGCCAGGCGTTGGTGGCTCACGCCTTTAATCCCAGCACTCGGGAGGCAGATGCAGGTGGATCTCTGTGAGTTCGAGGCCAGCCTGGTCTCCAGAGCGAGTGCTAGGATAGGCTCCAAAGCTACACAGAGAAACCCTGTCTCGAAAAACCAAAAGAAAAAAAAAACGACACTAGATACCTTCTTCTGGCTTCTGCAAGCCTAGGAGCACACACCCTCCCAATACACACACACACACACACACACACACACACACACAAATAAATAATACTCAAAAAAAAAACCACACACCCCTTTTATCCCAGCACTCAAGAACCACACACCTTTAATCCCAGCACTCAGGAGAACAGGCAGAGCTATTTGAGTTTGAGACCAGCCTGATCTACTGAGTGAGTTCCAAGACAGCCTCCAAAGCCACAGAGAAACCCTATCTCGAAAAAACAAAAACAACAAAAAAGTCCCCAAAAAGGGCTGGCAAGATGCTTCAGTAGGTAAAACACTTAATGCCAACTTGGTTAACTCCTTGAGTTTAATCCCTCAGACCCACAGGTAGAGGACCAATTTCCAAAAGTTGTCCCATGGCCTCAAAATGCATCTTATGACATGTGATTTCCCGTATACATTAAATAAATGTAATTCTAAAAATATTTTTCAAAAATTCAAAAAATATTTTCTGATTCTACAGATTAAAAAAACAGTCATTCCTGGGGTTCTGAGTATTTGAGTATTTGCTGTGGTACTATTTGCTGCAGAGGTCTGTAATAGGCAGATTTTTTTTTTCTTGGAAGTGGGCATGGGATCCAAGGCATCACAAACGCTAAGCAATTGCTCTACTGTTGAGATACTCCTACAGTCCCCAGGTAAGACTTTTCTTCTAGGCCTCTCACTGTGTACTCTAGTTGTTTTCCCTCACAAAGGGTCATCACAGGCTCATTCCTGGGTATGTTCATCCCTAGAACCCCGAGGCAGAACACTTAACGTAATGATGACTGGAATCTTCAGAACATACATGCATCTGCTAGCCAGGGACATATGAGTGTTTTGTTTTTTGAGACTATGTAGCCCTGTCTGGTCTGGAACTCACGGTATAGACCAGGCTGGCCTTGAACTCATTGAGGTCTGCCTGCCCCTGCCTCCCAAGGACTGGGATTCCAAGTATGGGCCACCACACCTCATCTCACCTCACCGGGAATCAACCTGAAGGACCTATTTGGTTCCCATGATAACACATCCCTTTCTTTGCCCTCTCTTGACCTGGGCTTTTTGTTTTGAGTTTTGAGATAGGATTTTGTTTAGCTCAGGCTGGTTTTAAACTTCCTTTGTAGTCATGGATGATCTTGAACTTCTGACCCTCCTGCCTCCAGCTCCCAAATACTGGGATTACAGACATGCACACCTGGTTTATGGGGTACTGGGGATGGAAACCAGGACTTCATGCATGTGAGGCGGCACTCTACCAACCTGGGGATGTGGAGCCACATCCCCAACCTGATTGGTTCTTTCTCTACTTCTTACCTGCCCTAGGGAAGGCAGGTTGAGGCCAGTCCTGGACACTGACCCCTTCTATAAACTCCTCCTCAATGTCCCGATAATGGCAAGAGGTAGCCATGCCCAGCCTTAGCTCTCCCCCACTCCACTTTTTTGAGACAAAGTCTCACTGTGTAGCTTTGGCTGGCTGGGAACTCACAGAGATTCTCCTGCCTCTGCCTCCTAAGAGGTGAGATCACAGACATGTGCCACGACACCAGCCTCTTTCTGTCTTTGGTTATGCTCTTAAACACAACTGCCTGGCATGTTGGTCCAGGGATGGGACATCACGTAGGATGTGAGCACCCAGCCTGCACTCTTCTGGGGGCCACTTAAAGGGCTCTAAGGTTCAGACCCATCAGTCGCTCCAGCTGTCGGGTGACATTCTCAAGATCAATCAAGTCCTCAAGCTCTTCTCACACATCAACAGGATCCTTACCCCCAGAACAGCCTCTGAGAGCCCACATGTGGAACCCCACATAGTCCCTAAATTCTCCTCCCACAGTTCTTGGCTCTATCCCTGGGGCCACACCTGAAGCAGTCCTCGGGGGCTGGACAGATGGTTCAGAGGCCAACAGCACTGGCTGTTCTTCCAAAGGTCCTGAGTTCAATTCCCAGCAACCACATGGTAGCTCACAACCATCTGTAGTGAGTTCTGGCACCCCCTTCTGGACTACAGGCACATATGCAGACAGAACACTACACACACCTGCGTTTGCACACTGCATTTTCTTATGGACCTTAGTCCCAAGCCACCCTCTCATCTTTTATACTCCAAAGATGCCAATGTGGAGGTCCCTTTTATTCTACAAACTTTGGTGAAGAGAGTCAACTCAACACCCACATTCTAGATGATTCTATCTCTAGTAACAAGAACAAAGATCACACTAGCTATGTAAACTTCAATAGCGCTGCATTCTTGTTATTTTGAGACAAAATCTCTGTATACCGGGTATGGTGGCACACACTTTTAATCCCAGCATTGCAGAGGCAGAGGCAGGCAGTCTCTGTGAGTTAGAGGCCAGCGTTTTCTAAACTTGTCTCAAAAAAAAAAAAAAAAAAAAAAAAAAGAATCTCACCCTGTAGCTTGGAGTGGCCTGGAACTCACCATCCCAGGCTAGATTCAAACTCGAAGTGATCCCCCTGCCTCTGCCACCCAAGTGCTCGGGTTATGGGAATGAACCAGCATATCTGCCTTCTACAGTGCTTTTGACAGACCACTCTTGTTTGTAGGCGTTTCTGTGCCTCTTGGCCAATTTCCTGTGCTTAGACTCGACCCTGGTTGACCCCAGATATGCCACTGCTGCATTATTTCAAAGGTAGGGTGTCATCATGTATTCAGTTTGGACTTAAACTTTACGTGTCTCCTAGGCCGGCCTTGAATGTGGTTTTGTGGGTTTTGTTTGTTGAGGCAATGCAGCCTAGCCAGCCTCAGACTATATGTGGAGGATGACCTTTTACTCCTGATCTTTCAGCCTTCAACTCCTAGGTGCTAGATTATAGGTGTGACCCAACAAGCCTGGTTTAGGAGGTGCTGGGGATCGAACCCAGAGCTTCCTGCATATTACACAAGCGCTCTTCCAACTGTGCTATGTTCCCAGCTTTGAACTTCCGATCTTCCTGCTTCAGCGTCCCCCGTTCTCAGTGGAGTCACCGTTATGCCCCTTCTCCCCGAGGTTCTGCTCGCCAGTCTTCTTGCCCCACATCCAGCAGCCAAACTGGCCACTTAATGTCTCCCTGGGGAGGGGGGCGGATGCCTGTATTACTAATAGAGCCCCTCCTCCGCCACCCATCGAAGGGAGTGGAGTGGAGGCTGCGGCTTGGCAGGAGAAGGTGCGCTACCATCTCGATGAGCTGACCCGCAATCCTGGAAAAGAAGGTGCAGCCAGGCGAGGCTACAAGTGACAGTGGAGTAGGCAGGGTCACTTCTGGCCAGGCTGGGAAGTAAGGCTGAGATAGGGCTCTTTGGAAACCAGACAGCTCGGAGGAGGAGGAGGAGGCTTCGATTAGCCTTGCAGGTCAGTTGAGCTTTGGATGGGCAGCGCAAAAAAGGGCCGCTCCAGGGGAGGATGAGCTAGTGCAGTTGTGGAGGCCGGCTGAGAGGGTAGAGAGGAGGCGAGCATCGTCACCGTCATCCATCAGCACATTTATTGACAGCCCCTAGGAGGCGGGGCTGGGGACAGAACATACAAAGACAAGGACCTGCCCTCAAAAAGGTTCCATTCTAAGGAGACAGGGACAGAAAAAATACAGAATGGTCTTCCCTGGGGATGGCCGGCCCTCACCTGAGCAGGTAAGAAGCCTCTGTCCTGCCTTGCCCCAGGGCCAGCTGCAAGGCCCTAGGGAGTGTCCCAGGGCCCGCAGCTGAGGCATGACCACCTGGCTCCTAGGCGGAGGGCCCCCAAACTGCGGAAAGGGTTAGCTCAGGATATGAGGAGAACAATCCAGTAAGCCTTGGCCAATAAGTTCGAGCCCAGTCATGTGGCAGGGTGCGACAGGCCTCTCCCAAGCAAGCCCCCCCCGGGGGGGCAGCAGGCCCCCATATAGTTCTTTTCATTTGGAGACCTGGCTTGGCACCCTGGAGGACCGGGGAGACAATAAAATAAAATAAAATAAAAAGGCAGAGTTTCCTTGGTGACCGAGGTCCAGCACCCTGCCCACCCCACCCCCAGCCCTCTGCGGGCCTCTTCGGGAAGCCCCTCTTCCCCAGCTCAGCCTCCAGGGCCCTGGGCCTGCCTGAGGCTAGGGGGAGGGGCCTGCCCCTCCCCCCACCCAGACAGTGGGGGGGGAGGAGGAGCCACGAATCAAGTTTGTCTGGACCCCCGCTGGGAGGCCGAGCCCTGACTCCTACCGATGAGGGGGTTCAGGCTGAGAGGGTCGAGGGCTCAGCAGAGGGGCTGGGCCAAAGGGGCACCCGGGAGAGCCCTTCAGTGGGGGCACTGGGCGGGAGTCCAAGGGGGGCAGGCTCCGGGGTACGGCTGGAGGTGGCCCCCGGGCGGCCCCGGTGGGCAGCACGGCAGCAGCAGGGAAGGGTTTGGGGGGATCCATGGCGGTGGCGGCAGCAGCAGCAGCAGCAGCAGTAGTGGGGGCCGGCTGGGCAGAGCGTTCCCGACGCCTCAGCACTTCCTGCAGTTTCTCCGCCTGCGTCCGCCTCAGGTGGGCCAGGGCGCGGCCCCTCTGGAAGGCTGGCAAGAAGGCCTCCAGGCTCTGTTCCCCCAGCAGCAGCTGCTCCATTTGGACCTGGGCAGGGTCCAGGAGGGAAAAGGAAAGTTGGGCGGAGGCAATCCGATCCAATCAGAGACTGACGCCTTCTTCCCCGACGGTGACAAGCCAGCAGAGGCCCTGAGCTTCCAACCTGGCCCAGCCTCTGGCTGACCCAGACAGGACAAATGGCCACCCTCTTTCCACAGTAAAGGGCTGTCCCATGCCCTTCAACTCAGGGTCTGCTCCCAACCCAGCCCAGAGACCCTGCCCTCCAGTTGTAGATATCCCTAGGACATCAAACTCTGCCTTTCCGGGAAGTTCTGTAGGCAATCATGGCGGGCTTCTCAGAGACAGCTGGCTCTCAAGTGTTTGATGCAATGACAACCCCAATGGGACAAGATGGGCCTCCCTCCCTGTTCACCTGGACCCAGCCGCCTCTACCCCTCACCTCAGCCTCCTGCTCAGCCTCTTCCAGTTCAGCCTGCAGCCAGCCCAGCGCACATTGGGGGCTCCAGCGATGCATGCTCTCCTCTGAGGACCACAGGGGGACAGACCAGACAGGGACTCTGACTCCTATTGACCGCAGGTGACTACAGTTCCCACCTCAGTGACCTCCAAATCCTCAACTGGCTTTTTTGTTTTGTTTGTGACAGGGTCTCTTACAGCCTCTAACCTTGAACTCTGGGCTGTGTAGCCTGGGCTAGCCTTGAACCCCTGCTCCTCCAGTCTCTAGACCATAAAGTGCTGCGATTATAGGCATGCACAAACAAATTTACTTATTTTTTTGTCTGTTTTTATACTGAGATTTCTTTTTAAAAAGATTTTATTTTTAATTATGAGTATATGTCTATGTGTGAGTAAGTACTCTTAACTGAGTTCAGGTCCTTGAAGAGGCCAAATGTTGTCAGACCCCCACCCCCACTCCCAGGATCTGGAGTATTTGAGCTGTCCAACTTGGGTGCTGGGAACCAAATTCCAGTCCTTTCCAACTGCTGAGCCATCTCTCCAGCTATCACCATCATCATTTGAGAAAGGTCTCATGGGTACCCAGGCTGGCCTGCCAAACATGGTACTGGCCATCTTCCTGAGTGCTGGAGTTGCAAGCATGCACCACCATGGCAGGCTCAGTTGTTCAATAACATGGTCACTACTGAGTGTTTATGGACAAATATCCTCCTCACTATCACATCGAGGCTACCACCACCCAACCCAGTAATTAGGTAAGACATGAGGCAGCCCTTTACCCTGGAATAAAAATAAATAAATAAAGCTGAGACTGACCACAGGGGCAGTCTAGGTTTCAAGTTTACATTCTTTTTTTCCTTTTCTTCTTTTTTTTTTTTTTTTTAAAAAAAATTAATTTAGGGGTTGGAGACACGGCTCAGAGGTTAAGAGCACTGGCTGCTCTTCCAGAGGTCCTGACTTCAATTCCCAGCAACCACATGGTGGCTCACAACCATCTGTTATGAGATCTGGTGCCCTCTTCTGGTGTGCAGATATACATGGAAGCAGAATGTTGTATACATAATAAATAAAGAAAATCTTTTAAA